CTCACTTGTCTGCCATCTTTCCTTCCCACGCACGTCAGAAAGGAGTCATTATGCACAGCCTACATTGAAAGAGTAGGGAGTTATTCTACTGAAGTTTTGAGGGACGGAGGTTGGAGCTTATTTCTGAAAATACATTTATTAACAAGATGGGGTAACACAACTCTTCTTCATAGGAGTGATCTATTGAATTGTATATGTGAAAATGGTAGTGTAAGCATGATGTTTGCCCTTTCATGTTGTACTTTTGAGGGGGGGAAACCCCATGAAATTCAGAAAAGGTAAGTGCCTTGGCTGGGTCAGATCAAACAAGTGGAAGAACCACATTAGAAGTTATATATGCACTCTTCTGCTTTTTCTGAAACTAGGATTTCAATGCTCACCCGACCACGGTGCTCTGCCTCTTTTCTCTCTTCTACTTCTACATCTGCTGCCTATTGCTTAGTGTTTGTCCTTTTTAGTCTATTACAATTCAGAAATGTTTCTTCATCCTCTGATCATAGTATTCTCTGCTTTTTCCATCTTAGATTGTATCCTTATATGCAGTTAACTTTTTGTCACAGTTTTCCCAAAATCTGGTGAAACTTCATTGCAACCTTAAGGCAATCAGACAATTGGAGTCGGCAGTTTATGTGCATATCCACGTGGATCTTGAATTTATCCTGTTCCTTTCTTGAACTTAAATAAAGAACCTTCTAGTTAGTCAATACTTGGAAAATTTTAGGACATCTCTATATTTGTTTCCATCTTCAATGGTGACGGTGTTCTTCAACATGTACACCCAGGTGACATTTGTATTTTTCCCCAAACCAGGATCAAATAGCCCACGAATCAGGGGAATCTATTGTTGTTATTGTTAGGTGCCATCCGGACAGTTCTGACTCACAGTGACCCTATATACAATAGAAAGCAGCACCCCCTGGTCCTGTGCCATTCTCACACTCATTGTCAGTTCCATGCTGTCATTCCGGCTACTATGTCAGTCCATCTTGTCGAGGGCCTTTCTCTTGTTGCTGGTCCTCCTGTTTTCCAAGCATGATGTCCTTTTCCACGGACTGATGTCTTCTGATAGCATTTCCAACGTTTGTGAGAAGTCTTAGCATCCTTGCTTCTAAGGATCACCAGAATAGATTCACAGCTTCTTTTAGGAAATAAAAAATTTGTTTTTGATTATTGAGAATCAGTTATCAATCCTCTCATGTGTATACTGATTTTTTTCTGGTTTAATGATGAACCTAAATGATATTTGCAGACATGGATGTATTTCATGAGGAATCAGTTTTTGTAAAGCTTTCTGGGTGGACCATTGGCATCTTTGGACCCTGAAGAAAACATGAACCCATTGTAAATTGCATTTATTGGTTGTATGCAGAATAAATGGATATAAAATCTGAAGATATATTTTCAATCTTCTTAAATTTTAACCTGCCTGATAGAATTCAGAGAGAAGACTATGTATGTATTTCTTTGTTCTCCCAGTGTGTACACTCCGTGAGCTTGTGGAGTGAGTTTATTTATGTGCAGTATTTTTGAGACAAAACATATTTAATTTCCCCAAATTAGTAACAGTCTATTGAGGGAAGCAGAGATGGACTTAAATCAGTGGATTTGAAGAAATCCATTACCTATTCTTGGCTTGCCTTTCACTTTTATCTCATTCATTTTGACTTGAAAGCTATTTAATTTTTACTCTTCAACTTCAAGATCAGAAATTAATACCGACCTATATCAACCCTTGTGTTCATGAAGTAAATCACTGCTTCATGTCACTACACCTCAGAATCAATGCAAACTCTTTCCATTGAATTAAGGAAGTAGTGATGTCCACACAATTGCCTTAGGAAGACAGTTTTAAACATGTATTGTAGTCAGAGTAGGAAAAGTGCCAAGCCGAATGATTGGACTCCATTTTGTTCCAAAAACAATAACTTATAAGTCTGTGATGATTTTTATCAAGTCCTAAGGCCAAAAAAATTAGGAAACTTGATTGACATTTAAACATTCAATGGATCACAATTTAAGTATTGTGTTCCAATATTGTGTTACAATAAGTCATGTTAAACATTAATTAAAAGGTGATGACAAGAGGTTGATAGGTAAGTAGGCTGGATAGAAGGGTTCAGTACATTTAAGCCTTATCTGAATATGACCCACACACTTCCAATGCTTCCATCACAGTTATGTGCTTGCTTTCCTTCTCGGTAGTTTGTTGTCTAACCTTCACAGACAAGGGAGGTACAATTCATTGGAAATTATCCTAATTCCTTCACAATCTAGTAGCCAAGGTAACAGATGAGAATATACAATAACTCCAGACACTAGTCATTGCTTGGCTATTTTAATCTATTACTAGGTGAAATTACAAATTTAGTCACAGTTGAATTTCTAAACAAAACTCTGTTTTCTTCCTTTCTCTGTGTGCATGTGTATATATGTATTAATATATTGATGTATATATTCACATGGAGTTACTATAAAGGTCAAACATGCTCATTTAAAAAAATAATTCAGAGACAGCTGAAATGAAATGTATTATCCAGAATCCCACAGATAATTATGTTCAACATTTTGGTATATGTCTACATCTATATATAGCTTTCACTCATCTTTATATAGATGATCTTTAGAAAGTAAGAATGCCACACTCATAGTGGAAAAATATTTTTCACTTGTATAGTATATTTTTTCACAATTAATGATCTCTTGCTATTGAATGAAATAAATTTTCTTGTTTTAAAACTTTTAATTGTAAATTAGATGGGAGTTTACGTATCAGATCATCATTTTTTGTATTCACAGCTTATCAGACCTCCCCATGGATTGCCCTGTGCCCCACTCCACCCCCACCCCCACCTTTTCTCTCCCCATTTCCCTCTTGTAAGGCATTATCTTCCCTTCACCCAAGCCAAATCCCCCATTACTTCACCTTCTATCCCTTCCCCTCCCAAATCTGGAACTATTAATCTGTTGTTTTGGTATGAAAACCTTTTCTTGATTATTTTGAGGGATGCATATATCAATGATCTTATACAATATTCATCCTTTTATGATGGACTAACTTAACTTATCACAATGTCCTCAAAATGCATTCATGTCATAGGTGTTTCATAGTTCCATTATTATTCTTTAATGTTGCATCATATTCTATTGTTTGAGTGCACGAAAGTTTATTCATTTTCCCACCAATGGGCATTGAGGTTGTTTGCATCTTCTTGGTATTACAAACAGTACTGTGACGACCATGGGTGTATGTATATTTGTTCATGCTATGGTCTTTGTTTCTGTACAGTATATGCCTTATAGAGTGTTTGCTTGGTCATATGGTAATTCTATTTCCAATTGCTTGAGGAAGTGCCGTAGCACTTTCCACAGTTTGTACTGTTTTACAGTCTCATCAGCATTGTGTGAACTCCCCATTCACATCTTGAATCATGGACTCAGTCTCTTAGCTCTGCACTGGACGCAGGAAGGAGGAAAACAGTAGCTACTGAGTTGACTCTGGCTTAGGAGGATCCCAACTCATGACAACCCCATATAGTTCGGGCGAGATTAGTTTTTGAAGACCTCGATGGGGGAGTTCTTAAAGTATAAGCTACCAGGGTGAAATTTCTTGGGAGGCACCAAAATCATTGTCATTGAGTGCCTTCCAACTCATTGAAAGTCAACAGGACGGAGTGGAACTCTCCCTGTGGGTTTTTGGGGCTATAAATCTTTACGAGAACAGAAAGTTTCTTCTTTCTCACATGACCCAACATGTAACCTGCCACACCATTAGTACTCAGAACATCAACCTTCGGACAGCACCAAAGCCCATTATTGGTTATACCACATGGGGGAAAACCAGGAAAGGTTTACCTGGTTACAAAGTGACAAGCCAGAACCTCGCCTGTGGGTCAGTTTGGTGAGGAGGAAAGAGGGGAGCCCAGCCTCCTTGGAACATCGCCCCTCCTCTCAGCCTCAGCTACCCTTTGTCCACAGATGGTGTAGACGTTGTCCTAGCAAGTCTGGCTAGACCAGACTAGTACAGATAGGAACTGGAAATACAGGGAATCCAGGGAGGATGAGCCCTACAGGACCAGTGGTGTGAGTGGCGAAACAGGGAGGGTAAAGGGAGAGTGGGTAGGAAAGAGGGAACCCATTACAAGGAACTATATGTGACCTCCTCCCTGGGGGATGGACAACAGAAAAGTGGGTGAAG